AAGATTGAACTAGAAAAAGAATCAATTAAATTTTTGGGAATAATTTTAGATCAGAAAGGTTTAAAATTACAAGAACATATTTTGTCCAAAGTACGAGATTTTCCTAATACTCTTGAAAATATAACACAATTATAGAGTTTATTAGCCATTTTAAATTATGGACGAAATTTTATCAAAAATCTTTCAAAAATAGAAATTCCTTTGTTGACCAAATTAAGGAAAAATGTTATTTTTGAATGGACAGCAGAAGATGTTGCTTTAATTAAACAAATTAAAGAAAATGTTAAAACTTTACCAGATGTTTATCTTCCTAAAACAGGTGATAAATTAATTTTAGAAACAGATGCCTCAGAAGCATGCTGAGAATGTGTTCTTAAAGCAATACCAAGTAATTTATGGCATGCTAAAGAGATACCTTTATCAAAAAATAGGATTAGACCAAGAAAAAATTTAATATCCATAAAATTATCTCTTGAAAATATAACACAATTATAGAGTTTATTAGGTATTTTAAATTATGGATGAAATTTTTAAAAAAAATCTTTCAAAAATAGAAATTCCTTGGTTGACCAAATTAAGGAAAAATGTTATTTTTGAATGGACAACAGAAGATGTTGCTTTAATTAAACAAATTAAAGAAAATGTTAAAACTTTACCAGATGTTTATCTTTCTAAAACAAGTGATAAATTAATTTTAGAAACAGATGCCTCAGAAGCATGCTAGGGATGTGTTTTTAAAGCTATACCCAATAATTTATGGCATGATAAAGTGATACCTTTAGCAGAAAATGGGATTAGACCAAGAAAAAATCCAATACCCATAAAATTACAAAAAAACGAATTAATTTGTGGATATAATTCTGGAGCATTTAAACCAAATGAACATAAACATATTATTTTCGAAAAAAAATTAATTGCAATAAAATTGGCAATAAAGAGTTTTCATATTTATTTAGCCCCAAAAAATTTTATTGTGCGCACTGATAATAAAGCAGTAAGAGATTTCTTGATCAATAAAAAACCTATTGAACAAGGAAGAAGATTAGTCTGGTATAATAAAATTTCTGAATATACTTTTGAAATAGAGCATCTTAAAGGTACTAAAAATTTTCTTACATTTTTTCTTAGTATAAATTATTTCAGAAAATTAAATAACTAAACAAGTAATTTTAATTTTTACAGAAGACCTCTAGACCAAAAGGAAAACAATGGATAAGGGCAAAACAACCTGTTCAAGAAGATTGGGTAACAATTGCTAAAAAAACAATTCTCAGAGAAGAAAAAGTTTATGTTGTGTTTACAGAAAGACAACCTGGAATTTACACATAATGGAATGATTGCAAAACACAAGTTTGGGGATACTGAGGAGCAAGCTATAAAGCATACGATAGCATAACCAAAGCTAAAAAAACTTTTTACAGTGCAACAGTTACGCAAGTTTATCAAAAGAATCAAATGAGAACTAACCTAGTTCCAACTAATATTCAGACATCTAAACCAGATGAATCTGAGATAAAAGATTTTTTCAACCCTGGTATATCCAGAGAAATTTATATAGAACTCAATAGAGTTTGGAAAACTCACATTGTAGACAACAAAGTGAAATTTCGAAAACAGATGGAAGTTCTGGCCAACAAATTAGCTGAGCAAATAGCTAAATTAAAAGACTTGCAAAATCTTTGTTTCAATATTCTTAAACAAATGAATTGGAATGAAGATTTTAATTTTGAAAAAATAAACAATTTTCTGCAGCTATCAGACCTCATATCAGATGAGTTTTCTGATCCAGTTTTTGAACAAATAAAAAGAATTTGTCTTTTTGAAAAAACAAGAACTTTGCTTCCAAAAGAAATTTTTATGTTAATTAAAAATCGAGTTGAAGATCATCGTGATAAGATTAGACAAATCTTAGAACAATCTTATGATAAATTAAATTTGAAAAATGAAATCCCTAAAATAACCATCATGGCAAACCATGACATGTGGTTTTTTGAAGATATAGATTAGGGAATAACTAATCAAGTTATTTTTCAAATTTTAGATCCAATCCAATGGATAGATTATCCAATGATCATCAAAGCAATGCTCTTATGGATAGTAAAAGGCTTCCAATGGAGCAAATATTTTACTTTCTCGATCTCCAGTACTGTTGGTTGGCGGGAACGAGAACATTTTTTCCAACCATACTAGATTTGGTATCATAAAGAAAGTGAAGATTTTGAATTTGAAGATGATTATTTAGATGAAGATCGCTGGAGAGAGCGATTAGAAAATATCCAAAAACTTTCTTTGACAGAATATTAGATAGACAATCTAATATCTGTTTCACAAGCAGCGTCCAACATCCATGGCTCAGCAAAATTGCCATTCGAAAAAGAATTACTTGCAATAAAATTGGCAATAAAAAGTTTTCATATTTATTTAGCCCTAGAAAATTTTATTGTACGCACTAATAATAAGACAATAAGAGATTTCTTAATCAATAAAAAACCTATTGAGCAAGGAAGACGATTAGCCTAGTATAATAAAATTTCTAATTATACTTTTGAGGTAGAACATCTTAAAGGTACTAACAATTTTCTTGTAGATTTTCTTAGTAGAAATTGTTTCAGAAAATTAAATTACTAAACAAGTACTTTTAATTTTTGCAGAAGACCTCTAGACCAAGAGGAAAACAATGGATAAGGGTAAACAACCCGTTCAAGGAGATTAAGTGACAATTGCTAAAAAAACAATCCCCAGAGAAGAAAAAGTTTATGTTGTGTTTACAGGAAGACAACCTGAAATTTACACATAATGGAATGATTGCAAAACACAAGTTTGGGGATATTGAGGAGCAAGCTATAAAGCATATGATAGCATGACTAAAGCAAAAAAAACTTTTTACAGTGCAACAGCTATGCATGTTTATCAAAAGAATCAAATGAGAACTAACCTAGTTCCAACTAATATTCAAACATCTAAACCAGATGAATCTGAGATAAAAGATTTTTTCAACCCTGGTATATCCAAAGAAATTTATACAGAACTCAATAGAGTTTGGAAAACTCACATTGTAGACAACAAAGTGAAATTTCGAAAACACATGGAAGTTCTGGCCAACAAATTAGCTGAGCAAATAGCTAAGTTAAAAGACTTGCAAAATCTTTGTTTCAATATTCTTAAATAAATGAATTGGAATGAAAATTTTAATTTTGAAAAACTAAACAATTTTCTACAGCTATCAGACCTCATATTAGATGAGTTTTCTGATCCAGTTTTTGAACAAATAAAAAGAATTTATCTTTTTGAAAAAGCAAGAACTTTGCTTCCAAAAGAAATTTTTATGTTAATTAAAAATCGAGTTGAAGATCATCATGATAAGGTTAGACAAATCTTAGAACGATCTTATGATAAATTAAATTTAAAAAATGAAATTCCTAAAATAACCATCATGGCAAACCATGACATGTGGTTTTTTAAAGATATAGATTGGGGAATAACTAATCAAGTTATTTTTCAAATTTTAGATCCAATCCAGTGGATAGATTATCCAATGATCATCAAAGCAATGCTCTCATGGATAGCAAAAGACTTCCGATGGAACAAATATTTTACTTTCTCGATCTCCAGTACTGTTGGTTGGCGGGAACGAGAACATTTTTTCCAACCATACTAGATTTGGTATTTTAAAGAAACTAAAGATTTTGAATTTGAAGATGATTATTTAGATGAAGATCGCCGGAGAGAGAGATTGGAAAATATTCAAAAAATTCTTTGACAGAATATTGGATAGACAGTCTAATATCTGTTTCACAGGCAGCGTCTAACATCCATGGCTCAGCAAAATTGCCATTCATGGTCATAGATGGAAGAATACTGTTTGTAACCCATTTTCCTATAACATATCAAAGGTTTCCTACACAAATTAATGAGGCTCTTGGCATGTTAATTAATCTCAAAAAGAGAAATAATTTGGATCTTCCTTTGGAGCTAGCCATGACTGCGGATGATGAGAACATTTTCGGAATGAGCAATACAGCCAGGATCCGGATTCCCCTCCATCAGAGACTGATGAAGAATATCACAATCTCATCAACATGATGGAAGCATAGTGGATCCCACTATCAAATGCAGCTGTCTCCTGATCGACTCCAACCTTATTCAAGACACGTGAAGCAACCTGCATTATTAGGCGAAAAGTGGTCAGCCAAATCCTTTCAGCCGACGCTACACGATAAATCAGCTCAGCCAAAGCTTATCTATAATAGTCTATCTCTTTGAAAACCGGGAAGGATAGACAGTGTATATAATTGTAAAAACTGTAGCACATAGCAAATAATTGTAGTATTTCCTTCAACCATTTTTGTCTCTTTGTATTTATTTTATGAAGACCTTTTATAAAGCCTATGAGTAGGCTTGACTAGGGTGTTGGAATTTTGCACAAATCTTAGCCGTAAAGTCTTGCCAAGTTAGGTATGCATTAAGTTATGATTTTATTTGTATCTACCATCTTGTATTTTATATATTGGCTTTTACGCCAACATAATAAAACATTTAAATTCTCTATCTTTGTGCTTCCAACTTCTCTAACTTCTCCATCATAATTCCATACTCCATAACTCCGCAGTGGTGATAACCGCTAGGCTCAAGCCGGTTGATTTCCTTCCCTATTAACTAGGAAAAGAGTTTAGAATCACCATGTCACCAACATTGCTGAATGGGCCTAAATTTCCAACAATACAACTGTATGATTTGGCATACCAACAAGGCTTAGTTGGATGGTTAACAAGCTCAAGATCAGTTAACTTAGATTCACTATGTTCCGTGCAAATGATTTATCCAAAATATTAGCCTTATTATGAGTCTACAAATGCTCTACAAAACAAAATAGACCCATAAAGTTTCAAAATTGTTCCTTTTTTTTTTTTGTTTGAACGAAAATTGTTCCTTTCATGCAGAGAAAATCTCTGAAACTCAGTTCCAAGCTCACTGTTCAATCATTTCAGGAATTTAAGAAGAAAAAAAAAATCATTACTGAATTCACATTATGGATTGATAGTATCAACCATTCAGCTTGTGCAATACAACAAATTTAGAAACTGTTCGATAACAACACAACATATTAAAAAAAAAAATACCCTGAATTCATCATTGCAACTCTACACATCTTTTCCCAGAAGAAGAAACAAATAGCAGAAGATCAAGTCTGGAAAACCATTAAAAGAAGTCGAATTCAAGATAACTATCGGAGCTTTTCTGATCAGGGTTAGCTACAACAGCAGCAGCTTTTTCGCTAGTTGATGCTGTTGGGACTGGAATTTGTTCAATCTCAACAGGCTTGGGGATCTCAGGCGGGCTTGCACAACGAATCAAAGCCCAATTTATACCTTCGAAGAAAGGGTGTTGTTTTATTTCCGTTGCCCCTCGTTTGTACGCCAGCCTATGCTGTGGTTCTTTTACTAGCAACCCCCTTATCAGATCCCTCGCTGCAAAACTGACTACTGGTGACTCTGGGAATCGAAGTGGCTGACCAACAACATTGAACAGGGTGGCCCGATTCCCTGATCCCTTGAACGGAGTTTTACCGAACAACAATTCATATAAAAAGATACCAAAAGTCCACCAATCGACTGCACTGCCATGCCCTTCACCTTTAATGATTTCAGGTGCCAAGTACTCATGGGTCCCAACAAACGACATAGAGCGTGCTCCTGTTGGCTCAGCCATGAGCTCAGGCAATGGGGTGACTTGGTTTCCAATTTCATTCTTGGGTTTTCGGTCTTTCTTGGATTTACTTGAAAAGATGTTGCGAGGACCAAAACATGTTGTTGGGACCACACATGATGGCTGGATACAAGATGGCTCAATGCAAGCAGGTTGGACACAATACACAGGGTTCTTCCGCAAGGGTTCAGTCTCAATGGCTGAGGACTTGACAAGTGTCGGGCTGACGGTGCAGCGGAGAGAGAGATCAAAGTCCGAAAGCATTATGTGTCCATCTTCCCTCACAAGGACATTTTCCGGCTTGAGGTCACGATAGACAATCCCGAGCATGTGGAGGTATTCAAGAGCAAGGAGGACCTCTGCTACATAAAACCTGCATATTGACATTTTAAGTTTGATGACAAAAACAAGAAAAGTAAACATCGGTAACCTTGAGATAACAGCAGACTTGTTTTCAGAAAGACAAAATTACTAGCTAATACAAGAAGCCAAATAATGTACTCCATTTCAGACACCTCCCTCTCCACGATTCTTCCTATTTTCTCTCATATTTCTCTAATGTCAATATACCCAACACTTTACAGCATTTCACAATCTAAATCGGAGATTAGAGTCAAAGTTGGAGACTATCCAGTTCAGAGCACCAACAGAAATCAAAAAGCATTATTGGAAGAGCAAGAAACCTAAAAAGTGTTGTAAGAATTACTTCTAGAAATTGACAAATAAACATCATCTATAGAACAAAGATTTATCAACTAAGTCATCTTACTGGGGTAAGAGAGTCTAGCTTTTCACAATAAAACTTTAGTTCCAAGATAAGGGAAGCTTCAAGAAAGTATAACGAAAGATATGGGGTTTGAAGAATATGTGAAGTGACAGCATGAATTAATTAACAAAAGTTATTTATTCAATATTAAAAGTGGACAACATGCACTGCATACAATTATCACACATGTATTCATACATAAACCCTAGATTAGAGAAGGGGGGAGAGATAGACGAGAGTTAAAAAGGTGTGATGTTGGAGCTACGGCTTAAACAATAAGTTGTATGAATAAGAAAATATTTGGTCTTGTAACTACCCTAGAATTTAGAAGCCAGGCTTTTCCTTCTATAGTGGGCCAGTTGGGTATACAAAATTTTGGATCAGCCTGATATGGGATCATGTACAACTAGAAGTCTGTGAATGTAACCAATTTCAGCCCATTTCATAAGAAGTTTAGCAAAGCTAACCCTAGTTTCATGGCCTGAACAACATTAATCATGATGGTAGCCATGCCTACCCTTCAAGGAAACCATCACCAGTCCATAAAACTTAAGCTTAACACTACCTACCTTGGTTGTCCATGAACAAGTGTATCACACTTATGAAATCAAGTACATAAAAAAGGTTCGGCTATGTGCATGCATAGAAAAATTTATTCCCATCTTCCAGATCCCCTGTCTCTTAAAATTCTCTCTCCGAAGTTCCCTCCTCAGAAAAAGAAAAAGGAAAGATAGTTATGGGAAGAGCAGAAGCCCAAAAGAGTCCCAACTTTTTTGTCTCAACTAAGGAACTGTGACCAAATTAAAATATGTAACGCATTCATATACATAGATATTTATGTATTATGTTTTACATTATTTAACTTTATTTTTTATAAACATAAAATATGTATACTAATTTCAGAAAATAACTACTTAGAAGATTTGAACTCCTAACCTTGATAGGTTATAAATAACCATTTTTTTGGTTTTAAAATGCAATGTTTTTTTTTTTAATTAACTGTCGCCATTGAGGCCAGTTCAAGAATTCAAGGCGTCAAGGCCAAGTCAGGCTCTAGCCATTCATTTGTCTATGTCTACCCCTAATAACAACATAGCAATGAATGAGAAGATGATTTACCGATAACTTCATAAGATGAAATGGTGAAAGATTATAAGACCACCCATAGCTTTATAAAATGAAATGGTAGAAGATTAAAAGACGACGTTCATAAACGAGTGCAGATATCAAAATAGAATAGTGGCAAGATGAGAAATGATGTTTTCAACAAATGATGCATTTGAAATATCGTTGGTAGTATTAGTAACAAAGGGGGCAGCTTGATAAAGAGGAAAAGAAAAGAAAGTTAAAAAAACAACAAAGCCCAATACTCACTGATGAAATTTAACAATTAAAAAGGGAAAAGATTCAATTACCTACAAGGTAAGATCTAGAAACATGGGTTGGGCTCCATGAAAAAAGAAAAAGAAATTGTTGGCACATGACTTGGTAGCATGCCCCTAGAGCATCATGGAAACATAGGTTCATTATGGACAATGTCAAATAGATGGTTCAAGGGCTACTTTAAGTTGAAGGTGAAGTAGCATGAGTACATACACTCGTGTGCCAAGTTGCCAACATAGCAGCAAGCCACAAAGACATCACGTCTCACCGGTTAGCCTCATGAAATGACACTTGGACCAATGAGCGCCACAGGTAAATCTTTTCTCCACGGCAAAGCCATGTCGGCTGAGGCTAATGTACATAGTGCCTTAATCTTGAGCCATAACATTCAAAAGCAATCAACAAGGAACCCCAAAGCACTTGACCTCACTCCTTCGATCGAGTGAAATCTTCATTCAAGGGCACCTATTTGCGCCCATTTGCACTTGCACCAATGTGCTCAAACTACACTCGAAATGGTTGTGCAGTTCCCAACCAGATCACACTCCTATGGTCTACAATTGGCTCTCCAATAGTACCTTCATGCCCTCATGCTAGCTAAGGTTAAAAGCAATGCCTGTGAACCCCCTTAGGTTGGCGTTGCAATCATGAGACACCCACCCCATGGATCTTGCATGGGATCTTTGGGGTTCACATGGAATGGTGGTGGAAGTTGAGGATTTTTCAAGATGCTCATTCCACTCTCCTCCAAAGAACTTGCACCTTCACTGATCTTAAAGAGAAACAGACCTACAAGAAGATATTCTCTAGATGCAGGCAAAATGTGCACCTCCCTGTACCTAAGAAGCATAGCGATTACCACTACAACCTGTGATGCCTCTGAGGATTTCAGAACCACTACTAGTTGTGGTATTTAACGGCCAAGCAGAGGATGCCACATGTTAATTCGTCCTCGCACAAGCATATGACCCAGGGGAACTGGCCTCTATGACCCAACCCTCCCATAGATAATAAGACTCAGCCTTTGTCTCTTGACTGACTAGTCATCTCTATTCCTATGGCCAGCTCAAAATCTAGCTGCAAACCAAATGCAGGCTACGCACACACTCTTGCACTATATATTTGGAAACCTATTCCTTTGAAGCTTTTCTAATGCAGAACAACCTCTATCCCATGCCAACCATGTACAGTGCCAATTTTAAAAGAGGAAATTTCTATTAATTCTGTACCTGGTACTTGTATGAATATACACTTGACAATGTCGACTTTTACATGATTAACTAGTGGAGGTTAAAAAATAAAAATAAATAAATAAAAACTTGGTTATGCTTTATTAGAATGAACAATCTCAACTGAGATGTCAGGGGTCAACATTGTTATGGTTTGGTTTTTTCTTCCCTATTAAGGTATCTTTCTTAAATTGTTTATTTGTTCCTCATTGTTGGTGTTAGACTTGCGAGTATGGGTTGTTAGACTTTCTTACATAGTTGATTGTCCAATTTAATGTAGTTCTCTTGATATTAATAAAATCTTGATCCCGGGGGATGAACTGACAGGAAATTGTATTAGCACCGAAACTATAGAAACAACAAGTAGATAGCAACAAATCTCTAGATGACAGAACAAATATAAAAACTGTGTGAGAAACATACCAAATCATGCACCAAAACTATCACAAGGAGTAAGAGGCACTCAATTAGACATTAACTATATTAAGATTATGAATAGGAACAAGTCTCATACTTGACAGCTTGCTCAGAAAAATGCTTTCTTGGTTGCCTCTGCCGAAGTGTGTGCAAGTCACCTCCCGGGCAAAACTCCATCACCAAACACGAGAATTTGTCTGTCTCAAAATGAGAGTACAAGGTTGGCAGAAAGGGATGGTCCAAAGACTGTAGTATTTCTCGTTCTGTCTGAGCACGAAGCAGCTTCTTACGGCTCGCTAGTGCTGCTTTGTCCATAACCTTCATAGCAAAGTAACACTTAGTGCCACTCAACTCCGAAAGATAGACACTTCCAATATCCCCACAGCCCAGCCTCCTCAGCAATCTGAAATGGCTCAAACCCAAAACCCCATCTTTAGCTCGGACAGCTTGAATGGCTTCCCACCTTGAGTCATTTGCCTTGTGAGGTTTATTAATACTGCTACTGAAGCTGCTACAAGTACTTTCATCACTTACATCAGTGCTTGTGCTACCTCTGCACATGCTGCTCTTCCCACTCTCAACAAAATCAGCTCGATCGCTAATTTTAGCACTTCCACTAGTCTTTGCAAGGCTATTAGCCCCATCACTAACTTTAGCAGAAGCCGAGCTATCCTTTATATTCCCATGATCTGATGACTTCTTTTCCTGATATGCTCCACTTTCAAGTGAACCCCTAGTGTCACTGACTGTAGGACTCACATTTGTTGGTACTTGTTTCAAAACACCGAAAGGTAAGCTTGAATCTAATTTGTCGGCTAAAGCATCGGCCGACCCTTTTTGTTGAGAATTGGGGGATTTGTCCTCTGATGCTTCCTTGGCGACCTGCTTAGGGGCAGCTTGATGCAGACTTCTAGGTAAGTTTTTGGGGGTAACAAGATCTGATTTACTCGTCTTTGAAACCTGCAAAGGGGAAGGCCTGCGAGAATTTCCTTCTAATGTTTGATTACCATTCGTTTTTCTCTGCTTTTCCGGGGAAGTTCTAACACTAGGTTTTGAGGCCATTGAGAAAAGCATAAACACTTTAAGTTAGTCAGACTGAACAAACCCATCAGTTGGCCTCCGGATTCAATACATGGCCCTCCCAGTTATATGGCTCAATGTTCTTCATACCCAACTTCATCAACAGACAGATATAAGGCATCTACAGTAATAAATACAAGAAAATTAAAAATACACATAAAATGCTGTATGCCAAGGCTCAGATATCAGCTTTGAATCAATGAAGCCTGTGATAAATCCAATAATAAGATTTCTGTTATTTTTTTTCCTTGAAAAAGGTATCACTAACAAATCCAAAATTTCAGCAGATCAAATCAGCAAAAAGGATGAACCAATTAGATCTAAAATTGATTCTGCTCAAAGGACCCTAAAGTACTGAAAGCTCTGCTCAAATGAGTAGAAATTCAACATCGAATTAAGAATAATAATGAATCGTAAAGCAAACTAAAAACAATTCTTTCCACCCGAAAAAATTGTAAATGAAAATGACATGCATACCAAATCAAATGTTATTTCCAGAAAACAATCAAGATTTACACCACTAACTAAAACATCATGGAAGAACAAAAATCACAATCATCTACCTCAAAATGTAAACACTTTCTCCCACAAAAAAATAACTTTCCGGATACAGTCAAGCTTTATAGAACCATGAATTGCAAGAAAGAATCAAACAAATTCACAAGCAAAATGTAGTTTTTCAATAACTCTTCTTGATCATCAAACACTACCTGTCAAAAGATAAGAACAAACCCATGAAGATAAACAAGAGAAAAGCAAAAAAAAGGTCTATGAAAAGCACAGATCTTAAAGTACAGACCCGCCTCTTCCACGACATAGAGCGTGCTCCTGTTGGCTCAGCCATGAGCTCAGGCAATGGGGTGACTTGGTTTCCAATTTCATTCTTGGGTTTTCGGTCTTTCTTGGATTTACTTGAGAAAACCCTACAAAAAAATCTAAAACCCCACAAAGACCCATATGCTAAAAAACAAAGTAGAAGCCATAAAGCATCAAACCCACAAATCAAATCGCAGGACCAGTTCAAAAGTGTAAAGAAAGAAACCTAAAAAGAGTACCTGAAATTACAAAGATCAGGACTTTAGGGTTTTGCTTTTTGCAAATGCAAGAAAAAAAGGGCACCACTGTAGGGAGAGATAGAGTGGCCTCCTCTCAAAATGTGTGGAGAGAAACAGAGAAAGAAAAAATTAGAGAGAGAAGATGAAAGAAAGAAAAGCTTTGAGAGTTTTAGGCAGAGTTGGGTAATCTGTGGGCTACCATGTATCATGTATTGAGAGATAGAGAGTAGAGAGAGAAAGCATGGTGGTCAAAGCTAAAGTAAAGCTTTTCACGTTCAATTATTTCAATGTATTTTGTCCCAAAACTCAAGGGTCTGAATCAACAAATGGGCCTTCAAGGCTCCAACCTGTCTGTCATGCTTGGTCATTTTTGAGTTTCCCATTTAGCTTCCGTTTGGGAGGTGGGTTAGTTTTTTGGTTTTTTGGCTTTTTTAACTATTTTAGTTTGGGTTAAAAAGTTTCGTTTGGGTAGGGTTTTTTGGATTTTTAGCTTTTTTGACTTTTTTTGTGAGAGAAGAGTGTAATGATTATGGGTTGGATGTGATGTTTTGTTTGTTATGACTAAAATAGCCTATTTTATTTTTTGTGGCTAAAATAATCAAAAAAGCCCAACCAACTTCTTCCCAAACGGTGCCTAGGGCTTCAACTCTTTGGTATTTGACCTATTGTGTCCTTGATACCTCTTCTAATCGGTGGTCCCCAAAACACCTAAAAACAACTTACTTTACTTTAAGTAAGCACACTTGTTATGGGCACATTACCCAACTAAGTGTTTGCTAATCAGATAATCACATCCACAACCAAAAAAAAGTCATTTGTCATTTGTTTATCAACCATCCCATTACCATTGGTGAGTCGAGATTCATCATTTTGATTAATCTCGGATTTTTATGTTTTTGGTAGAGTTTAATTTGATCTCCTAATGTTACAAATATAGGAATGATAAAGGGACAAATTTAGAATGATTTGTCATCCCTCGTTCTCACCCTATATATTATCGAAAGCAAAAATTTAAACAAAATAGGAGCAAGATAAAGCGGAAATAAATTAATTTTATAGTTTAAAAAAATTGTAAAAATAAGAGATAATATAATATATTGTAGTTAATTATACCATTTTTTTTAATGGACTAAAAGAAATTAATGATCATGCCATGAAAATTTTAGGGAGATGCTGGTTGGAAAAAAATAACTATACATTTATTATAAAAATGGTGTCATAATTTTTACTATACTATTCTAAAAGCGCATATTAAATTTTTTGAAATAATTATACATTTATTATGAAAATACGTCATAATTTTTTGAATTATTTTAAATTTCATTTATTATTTTTTTAACACTAATTAATAATACTTTCTTTTTTTTTTTATAATCCCATAATTGAATCGAAGTATGTATACTCAAAAAGAATATTCTATTGAAATTTAGTTTTAGTTTCAATTGAATAGTCAATTGGGAAGTAATAAAATTGTTGAACCTTTTCTGAATTTTGCTTACCTAACCTGAGAGATTGCACTGATTTTGGTCTACCTTCTCCAACCAAACTGAATTTTTTAACAAGTGATTAAATGAAGAGTAATGTTACATCTATTTAAAATTTTATTAAAATTATATATATTTAAATATTATTAAATATTTAAATGTCATTATTTTTTGATATTTAATTACATTTTACCTCTTATATTTTTAATAAAATTATTAATATATGTACAAATACCTCATTAAATCCTAGATTTTTTTTTATTTTTTTTTTTTAAATCTAGCTCACACGTGTTGACCAATTAATGCCCTATTAAAGTGAAGAGGCCCAAGTTTGATGGGGCACACCAAATTTCATTGTATGTTTGTAGTTAATTGAAGGTGGCAGCAAACAGTTGTAAAGTGCACCAGCGGGTGGTTGTCTAGTGAAACTTGGCCTTTCATATGGGAGACGCAACCATCTTGAGAAGATTGCGATGTACTCCTATCATAAATTTTAAGACTTTTGTCGTACAGTGGGTGAAGAATTCTTTCATTTGAATTAAGTTAAATCTAATCATCAACTATACCGGAATCAACACTCGAGAAAATTATAATATCCCCCACAAAACTTTTCTTTTTCAGTTAAAAATAAAATAAATTAAACAGTTGTAAAGTGCTAAAAATTTATATCCAACCCATTCCTATCCATACCCTTAACGAGTGGGGATCAAGATTTGGTAGTAACTTTATACACATAGTACAAGGCTCATTTGAGTAAGAAAAAAAATTCCCTTTGGTCAAAATTTGAAAAGAAAGAAGGAAATAATAAAAAAATTATATTTCATCCATATTTAAATTATGAATATATTTTTTGAGATTTGCTTAAAATACAAATTGCCTCTTGTAGTTTGAAAAATTACAAATACTCCCTTTTTAAAAAAAATTATTTAACAAAATTAACTAAAAAAATAAAATTCATAATTGCGCTCTTATATAATAATAAAATTACCTAAATTATTAATTGAAACATATTTTTAATATTATTAAAAACTATTAATTGGCTTGATAATTTATTAACAAAAATGACGATTTGTTATGAAATTAGAAACCTCTCAAAGGGTGGAATGTGATTTTCAAAATGACAGGGGGCGATTCGTATTTTAATCAAATCTCAAGAGGTGTATTTGTAATTTATCTTTTTTTAAATTTTAAATCTCTATTTAAATTCATAATTCATGATCTAAACATGACATTATTATAACGCTATTAGATATTTAATCCCAATTTTCATTATTCATATACGCAGATGGGGGGATTTTTTTTTCTCCTTTTATTTTGCTTTATTTAAATAAATAAATAAATAAGCAGGAGAAGAAGGGTAGGAGCCTACCTCTCTCTATGCCTATTCTCCGAATGCGTGACATAAAAACTCTTACCATTGAAGAATAGACATAAGAGACTTGAAACAAAACTCGAGAATACTATATATGTTCTTTCAAGATGAGTTAGAGTATGACTTAATCCTAATCCCAGACGAGGGATAAGGAAAAGTCTCAATCCCAAGCCTCAATCAAAAACTCAAACTCATTACTACCAAACCACATGATAGAGGGTGATTATAATATAAAACAATGGCACAGTTGGGGGTTAATTTTGTTTTTAGGTAGAAAGTGAGTAGTGTCCACCTTTTCTCAAGTCCTTGGGACAGAGTTGCAAGGTCTCAAAGTGACCACATACCTGAATGTCATTTTCACTATCATTGATTCCTCCACACAGATCAATATGGAGAGAAATGAAATAGCTGCCATAGTCACCTCCAACAACCAGATATTTCAAATCTTAGAGAACACTACTAAAATCTAACAAATATTTCAAGGAGGATTTGACAAATCTCAAATCTTGTTGGCAAACAGGGGAAAAATTACTTGATAAATCCGACCTACACGGTGTGCCCTCCACTACTACCATGTTATGGGATCCTCTTTCTCCTTCTCTTAAGAGGTAATAACACAGAAAACATATCAAAAATAGACTAGAAAGTATCGAGTATCATGACACCAAACCTTAATGCCGCAGCTGGAAATGGAAGTCAAAAGATCAGCAAATTGCTTGACAAGCATGGACATCAATCAATATTGTCGAGGACAACCAATCTTCACTGAAATTCTTTAACGAATGCTTTTCCACGTATGGATTGCCAAATATATGTTGGTGTTTGCTACTCTTCTTGTCTCACTTGACGTGAGTTACAAAGGTATAAACCAATATACTATAACCTTGATGTGCACACCAAAAAACAAAAAAAACAAAAAAACAAAAAACAAACAAGAAGAAGAGAAAAAGCAGGTTAATTGCTTAAGAAGCATTATAAATGACAGAATAATGCCTTGATGTACATTGAATTTTAAGTGTATACAAATTTAATGCAAATCACACAATGTGTTTAGCAATAGAATACATTACCAATAATCCTTGCAAGAACAAGAACCATCTTTAAAACAATGGAACCTGTTTCGGTCACCCACTATTATCTCTCGGTCAACAATGCCAGATATTAGTTTCAAAGCAGCATGACAATCTTCACAAACACGAAGGTTCTTCATAATCCTGATTGGTGTTCTGGTTGGTGTCTTCATGAGCCCAAAAACCAGAGCTAACTTCTCACTATGGCGATTCAGGACTTTCTCCTTCTCATTCTCTTCCATGTCAAGCAGAACCACTGAAGTGTTTGGTTCATAACCTTTTAGCCTCATTTCTTCCAACAGCTTTTCCCACCTTTGAAATATCTCCTTGGCTTGAGGATGGGTCTCATCTCCGGCCACAAACTCATGGACCACACCATCTATAGTGATTGAACTTGACCCAGGCGTCTTCTTCACCCCTTGATCTCTCATCAACTTCCTCACTCTTGATACGTCTTCCCACCGCTTTGCTTCTGCGTAGATGTTGGACAAAACTACATAGTATCCATCGTTCAACGGGTCCAATTCAAGAAGGTTTTTAATTGCCTCCTCAGCCAATTCAATGTGCTTGTGGACTCTGCATCCACCAAGAAGAGCTCCCCACACCACCCCATTCGGTTTGATAGGCATATTAATGATGAAGTTATGGGCCTCTTGAAGAAGCCCCGCTCGACTTAAAAGATCAACCATGCAACCATAGTGTTCGATTTGGGGAATTATTCTATAATCATTAGTCATCTTGGCAAAAAAACTGCGCCCCTCATCTATCAATCCAATGTGGTTACAAGCATGTAACAGACCGATAAAGGTGACCCCATTTGGCTTGATGCCTATTCGGGTCATCCTAGCAAATAGTTTTAGTGCTTCCTCTGCTTGTCCATGCATTGCAAGCCCTTGGATCATTGCCGACCATGACACAATTGTCCGTTCTTCCATGTCATCAAATACTCTACGCGCAGCTTCCAAGCATCCACATTTGATGTACATATCAATCAGAGTGTTACAAACATGAGTGTTTCTTCCAAACCCACTTTGGTTCGAGTAGTCATGAATCCTCCTGCCAAGGTCCAGTGCACCCAAATCAGCACAGGCTGCAAGAACAGCCACCACGGTCACCTCATTCGGCCTCAAACCAGCCTCTTCCATTTGCGTAAAAAGACCAATTGCATCCTTCGGCTTCCCACACTGGACAAAACCCGCAATCATGGCAGTCCACGACCTCACACTTCTCTCCGGCATTTGCGAAAACAACCCGAAAGCCCCATCGACGTCCTCCTGCTTTACCAACCGCGTTATCATTATATTCCAAGTCACAACATCTCTCTGCGGCATTTTCTCAAACAGAAAGCGAGCAATGTCCATCTCACCACAACTAGCATACAAATGAATAATCGAGTTCTTTAAAAACAAATTCGACTGAAACCCAAGTTTCTCAACAACCCCATGAACAATCCTACCATTCAAAACGTCCAACAATTGCGTGCATGCCTTGAGAACAAAACAACACGTGAAAGAGTCAGGACATACATTAAACTCTCTCAATCGATAGAACAAAGAAATTGCATCAACCGGAGATTCACTTTCCGCAAAGGCTTTCAAACAAGAATTCCACACAACAATCTGGGGCTTCTCTGCTTGATCAAAGATTTGTTGTGCGTAAGCAAAACTAGGAGTGAAGGCGCAAACTGAGCCGACTCGAGAGAAGGGGAGGACTGAGAGGGGAGTGTTGGTTTTGACGATGTGGGTGTGTACTTGTTTGAACTCGGATGGTGAGTTGAAGCTGTGGAGGAGGTGTGAGAAGGTTTCTGAAGTGGGTGGTTGATGGGTTCTTGAGGGGTGGATTTGGTTGGGTTGGGAAGTGGAGTGAAGGTGGAGTGAGAATACAAGAGAGGGTAGAGAGTGAACCATTACGGTTGGCCAGACCTGCTTGGACTGACTGAGATTTGAATTCACAAAAGGGTTAGCAAATTCTTTAACAGTTGGAATTGAATAGAGTGGTGTGAGCTGCTGAGACTGTACAGTGATCCAAGTATTGTCTTCTATATGGTTTCCCTCTCAATTCTACCATTTATAAGGCAAGACGAAGACCACTTTTAGAAGCGACCAGTTTCACAATATTGTTCACTTAAATAAATTTGTTTTTCATTAGTCAACAAAAGAAATATTTTTAAAATTAAAAATAAAAATTTTAAAAAAAAACCTTAAAATTTGACACTTGTAACTGTCAAAAATCCACCATTCTCAGAAGTTTTGTTATCATGTTTTTAACACTCAATAAAAATCTTGAAGCAAAAAAATATTCCTCAAACTTGTATCCGAAATCCCTGTTTATCTTTTTATACACCTATATGCATTTTGAGCTGCATTATGTAACTAATATCAAAACATAAAAATTTTGATGCACAACTATAGAGTTGAGAATTCAATTGGATATAAGGCCTACTCCACCATACTTGATAATCAAATCTCTAAGGCTGTATTTGATTAGGACATTTGAAAATGGATTTGAAAACCAACACAGCCCAAGGAGAACCCAACTATCTTAGGTTGTAGTCCTTTTTGCAGTTGGAAAAACAAACAGTATATCAGAAGATAGAGATCCAAATGTATTTTAAATAAAACTAGAAATGACTAAATGGGCTATATATTACAAGAGTTAACAGCAATGATAGAGAGCTCTAATGATATGGCAGCTCAAAAAAAAATTAAAAACAAACTAAAGATACACACATCACATCATAAATGGAACCCACTTATTTAGAGCTCCCTTAAAGCTCAATAATTAGAGCTCTAAAACATTTTTCCAAGAGTTAAATTCTTCATAGTTCTCGTTACCAAAAAGGAAAGGAAATCCAAATGCCTTCAGTAGTTTCACAAACAACTCATATAGCCTGCGAAATAACCTCATACACCTGCATACAACTATTTGGTGGTGGTCAAGTACAATTACTTGCTATAAAGAAAGAAAGACATCACTGCCACACCCATGTACTATCAAACATTTCAAAAGCTGGACTTCGTTTGGTAAAATGAGAGAGACAGAGAGAGATCTTTCATTCCACAACAAAAACCAGAAACCTTCAACTAACGTGTTCCTTTAAATAGAAAATTAAGTTTAATACCGAAGAATCTTTAGAATCTAAGAGGAGATAATGAATATTCAGCTCATACATCAACAAGATCTTCCACAATCATAAACTATCAACCTCCCACATCTTACTTTGTTTGTGGGTCGTTCGTCATACAAAACTCAAGCCATAAACAGCTGAGTAAGACCAATTAGAAACACCAATGCTAGCCGACTTTTGCCAAATGCTCATGAACTGAAGAGTTCGGGGTTCAGCCAGTCCCTGCAAAGAGGAGCAAATTGCAATATGTTTACGTCAAATTCAATAAAATGCAGCACTGCAAGCACAATGGTATGTGGAATTTGACACATGCTCTTACTTGCTAATGTCATCGAGATGGTCATCAAAATCAACAATATCCTGCCATTTCTGATTTGAAATATAGTCCAACAATACTATATTTGCTGCTGGCTCCTTCATGGTTAATCGGCTGCTTCCATCTCCAATTAGCTTCCAACTCTTGGATGAATCTCTTGTGTAAAGCTGAATAAGAGGGAATTATAGTAGTAGATGAGAGGGGTTCACTGTTACAATTTTTATTTCAGGTGGGTAAAGTGATAAAAGACAATAGTTTGATGGGGGAAAGTGTAATTTGCCCAAATATATAACAAGCCTGATTTAGAGAACAGCAATGGTAGCAACACTTCAGGTTTTCAAAGTAGACATGGGATGATTAGATGAGTCAAATTCAGCAGAACTGGTCTGCCACATGCAATGCAGACCAATGTGCAACAAGGACAACTGAGATTGCAATGCAAAAATTGTGTTCATATATTTAAAATATAACAAAATAATGAAAAAGAATTCACAACGTGAAATTAAAATAATAGTTTCACAAGGGTAAATTGAGACGATACTACTCAAACAACCAAGAAATTCATGTTACTGCATCTGCGTGAAAAAGGGAGCCACAGTTGAGAAATTTCTCTTTAGGGGTTCTATCCAATATTAGGATAAAAGTCAAAGTACTAACCAACTTGTTTGGTTTTGATTTTCAAAAAATAGTTTTCAAAAAATTCTACTTTTTTATTTTCCGTATTTTAATATTTTCAATGAATTTTTTTAATATTTTGAGGAATTTTTTTTTAATTTTTAGATACACCTAACATAAATACACTTAAAAAGTATAATATTTATGAAAAAAATATTTAAAAAATACACTAAATACGAAAAAATACAAAACAAAAAACAAAAAACAAAAAAAAAAACCAAAATTTAGTACATTTTTTGTATTTTTGTGTATTTACTAATTTTTTAAAATATTTTTTTACAAATATTTTACTATTTAGATACATTTAAGTAAGGTGCATCTAAAAAAATAAAAATAAAAAAATGCTTAAAATTTTAAAAATAGTTACTAAAAACAAAAAAACACAAAAAACAAAAAACATAATTTTCAAAAAACTAAAACCAAACACACTAAATAATACCAAAAACACAACCTGACAGGATAAGGCCATTTATCCACCCCCAGCATTTCGGCTAGTTAGTCATTTTCTAGACATTAAAATTTAATTAAATCATTTTGTTAACCAAGACAAGAAACGTAGCCTCCCAAAAACATCTGTAAGTCTGAATATGAATACCATCTAGTCCTAAAGGCTTGCCAAACTACATTTTCATTAATGCATTTTACCTCAAACTTACTTATTCTACCATAAAACTTGTATCATCCTGTTCCAACAACAAATATAATGTACTATTCATAGAAGTGACAGATAATCTAATTCAAGCCAGCCTAAGTGCAACCTATAAGATGATATCAAATATGAGCACAATATTTATTTTTGCATAATATTTCTCATTAAGGATAAATTTGGCAACCTCAGCTAGGATCAACTCTCAGGTTAGTGCACAGCATTGCCAAAACCAAAAAGAAAAAAAGAAGAAGAAGACCAAATTTGAAGACTTACAAAATTTTGAATTAATAAAGAAAAATAATCTGGGGATATATCTCCTAGAAACTCATTCCTCTAGAGAAATGAATTTTGAATCAATCTATGAAAGTGCCAGTTTACTATGATGTCTAAATATTTAACTTATTTTCAATAATACCATACTCACCACATAACTCCGCCGAGGTTGTCAACAACTCCACCGGCCCCAAGCCCGAATAAAGGAGGAGTGTTGTGTGTTAGGTAGCCGACAGCCAACACGTAAAAAAAGCCACTCGGATCCCTTATGACAATGAATCCTACTTTGAATCGTTTAAATGCTAGGTCATTCCCCTCAAGTGATGCGTTACACTCGCCTCCGACTGTTTCGAAAAGTGAGCATGGGGTGCCGCATCGACGCTTGGGTGCGATGAAAAATGGGCATAGGTTCCCGCATTTTTCTGAACGAGCGCGGGTAAAGAAGTTAGTCCAAGACTATAAGTTTAGGGTAGCCACTTGGAATATAAGAACCTTAACTGGTAAGACGATGGAATTGGTAGATGTTATGATTAGGAAGAGAGTTAATATAACTTGTGTACAAGAAACTAAGTGGACGGGTGAGAAAGCTAAGGAAATTGAGGATACCGGTTTTAAACTGTATTATAGTGGTAATAATTGCCAAGAATCTTATTAGTTAAACTAATGGAGAATGTAGGAATCATAATTGGGATAAGAATCCTAATTGTCAAGAATCTTGTAGAGAATGTAGTGGCAGTCATTAGGAAAGGGGATAGGATTATGTTAGTTAAACTAGTTATTAGATGGATTATAGTGAACGTTATTAGTGCATACGCCCCTCAAGTAGGATTAGATGATCAGACTAAAAGGGATTTTTGGAAGCAAATCGATGAAATCTTACAGGAGATACCCATAGGAGAGAACCTGATTATAGATAGAGATTTTAATGGCCATGTAGGCATAGAAAAACTTGGCTTTGAAAGGGTGCATGGTGAATACGGTTTTAGTGACAAAAATGAGGCTGGAGAGAGTATCTTAGATTTTGCGTTGGCTTGTGACCTGGTGGTGGTCACTACTATGTATAAGAAAAATGAGGAACATTTGATAACCTTTAAGAGTGGATCAGTTAAGAACCAAATAGATTATTTTTTAGTGAGAAAAGTAGACCGCCTAAAATGCAATGATTGTAAGGTGATTCTTAGAGAGAGTCTGGCCTCTCAATATATGATTTTGGCACTAGATTTATGTTTTAAAGAGCAACACCAAGTTAAAAAGCATGGTGGGCGTCGTAGGACGAGATGGTGGGACCTAAAAGGGGATAAATTAGAAATATTTAATAATAGAATAGATAAAGAAGGTACTTGAGACTTGGAAGATGATACTAACACTATGTGGAACTTGATGACCGATTGTATGAGGAGAATCTCAAAGGAAGTGCTTGTAGAGTCTAAAGGAACGAGACCCCAGCTCTAGGAAAACTTGGTGGTAGAGGGAAGAGGTTCAAACGGTAGTTAAGGCAAAAAAAGAGTGCTTTAAAAAGTGACAAAATGATAGAACTGAGGAAAACCTTAAAAGCTATAGATTGGCTAATAAGAAGGTCAAGAAAGTAGTAAGAGAGGCCAAGTTGAAAGCTTATGATGACCTATACGCTAGACTAGATAGTAAGGAGGGAGAGAAGAGGGTATACAAACTTGCTAAGATATAATATGGGAGAAGAAAACAAGAGATTTTAATCAAGTTAAGTGCATCAAGAGTGAAGATTCTAAGGTATTGGTGAAGGATAAATAGATTAAAGAAAGATAGAAGAATTATTTTGAGAAACTATTAAATGAGAAACATGGAGGTATATCAATAGGGGGAAGAAATAGCCAATAATACGATAAACCAAGACTATAAGTTCTATTGCAGGATTAGGAACTTTGAAGTGGAGATTGCACTTTAGAAGATGAAATCAAATAAGACTTTAGGACCCGATGATATCCCTATTAAAGTTTGGAAGTATATGGGTAAAAAGGGGTACCTTGGTTGACTAAGTTGTTTAGCAAAATTTTGTTGACTAAGAACATGCCAGATGAGTGGAGGAAGAGTATTTTAATGCCAATCTATAAGAATAAATGAGATATCCAGAATTACAACTATAGAGGAATCAAACTAATGTGCCTTATAATGAAAGTGTTGGAGAAGGTGATGGAACGCCGATTACGAGATATAACAGAGGTATCAGAGAATCAATTTGAGTTTATACCTGGCAAGTCAATAATGTAAGTGATCTATCTTTTGAGGAGATTAATAGAAAAGTATAAAGAAAATAAAAACGACATTCATATAGTGTTTATCGACCTTGAGAAAGCATATGATAGAGTGTCTCGGGATATAATATGGTAGGTGTTAGAGAAGAAAGGAGTGACAAAAGATTACATTGATGTGATTAGGGACATGTATGAAAGGGTGGTGACCACTATTAGATCACCTGCTAGAAAGACAAATGAATTTCCTATCACTGTAGTGTTACACTAAGGATCCACCTTAAGTCCTTATCTTTTTGTTTTAGTTATGGATGAGCTGACGAGAAATATTTAAGATGGCATGCCATGGTGTATACTTTTTGCAGATGATAATTGTGCTAGTTAATGAGACTAGAGAAGGGGTTAACACAAAATTAGAAATTTGGAGAAAAGCTTTTGAATCTAAAGGATTCCGAATAAACAGAACTAAGACAAAATACATGGAGTGTAAATTTAGTAACAGTAAAGATGAAAGCAGAGGAGAAGTGAAGATTGAAAACCAATAACTGCCTAAAAGTGAACATTTTCGAGTCAAATATCACAATAGTGGGAGAGATTGATGCGGATGTAGTCCATAGGATTAAGGCGGAATGGTATAAGTGAAGAAGTGCGTCTGGGGTACTGTGCGATAAACGAATACCCGCTAGACTATAAGGTAAGTTCTATAAAACGGCTATTAGACCAGCGATGTTGTATGGGACGGAGTGTTGAATAACCAAGAAACATGTAGATAAGATGAGTGTGGCTGAGATTATGATACTAAAGTGGATGTGTGACAAGATTAAACAAGACAAAATTAATAATGAGTGTATTCGGTAATGGGTAGGAGTAGCACCGATAAAAGATAAGTTGATCGAGAATCGATTGAGATGGTTTGATCATATTCAACAAAGGCAAACAGAGGCAGTAGTGAAAAGATGCGATACTGTAACGGTAGATGGAAGTATTACGAGACGGAGTAGGCCTAGATTAAGGATGACTAGCGTTGTAAATAAATAGAGATATAGATCTATTTAATTTGACGGACCTTTGATAGGGCTGCATAGAGAAGAAAGATTCATGTAACCGACCCCATTTGATGAGACTTGAGGTTTGGTTTGGTTACCATACTCACCACATGTTATTGACAGTAATTGCTAAAAAACGAGACGCTCATGCACAGATCAAATAAGCATCAAGCAAAACAATGTAATTATGGCAAATTGACAGACGGTCAAATTGTCTTCGCATGACAAATTACAGGGATAAAGATAGGGCAATGATATCAGCAGTCCATTTTTAACCCCTCACACTCCAGTTGTGAGAGGCTAAAGGACATAGAATGGAGTATGAGTGGCTTATTATAGACTGTCAACAACATTGGTCTAAAGATAATGTCACTACATAGAAGCAACGCCTTTCAAACTAGTAACAAGAGGTCATTAGATTTAACAAGCTTGGGCAATGAAATAGAAAATCTGTTTTGACATAACTAAGACCACATCCATTGTAAATATCAACATGGCACATAATCTACAACTCAAACAGTCAACTGGAAATCCAGAATTTTTATTTCTGCTGAATTTTTTATATATCATCATATCAACAAATATTTTGTTTCTTTCTTCCCTTTCGTTTTGGTCGTAATCCTCCCAATTAAATCGATTCAAATAACAATAATAAATCAGAAAACTTTATCCTTCAATCAATCACAGAACCAAATCTAAAAAGTTAAAACTCACCTGCAGATAAGTATACAACAAGGACTACAGTAACAACAGTAAACTCACCTGTATCACAGGGCTCCTGTCCTTTCCCTTGGATAAAGCTTCAAGCTTTTTGTTGTCCAACTGAAATTCAAGCAACAAAAATAGATTAATTAATTAATAAACACAAAAACAAACAGAATTCAATTACGGCGTAATTCAAAACCTACCAAAAGCAAACCAGCTTGGGAGAAGTATCGGTGTATGTGATCGCCAATGTTCTTGGCGACATTTCCGAGCTCAGAATCATCGAACCTCTCGTTAGCATGAAAGTAACCAACAATACTCAATCCTTGAGCACCGTAGTACTCTTCTATCTATTCCAATGGATAATCATCAATAAATATAATTGTCAGAATAAAACCCTAAGATCGAGAATTGGAAGAATGAGAGGAGGAGAGACCTGAATTAGGGCGATCTCGAGGGGAGGGAGGAGGCCGATCTGGGAGTGGAAGAGGGGGACCGAGTCGGCGATCTCGACGACGGGGTTGGAGTCGCCGCCGGAGAGGCGGCCGAGGAGGACGCCGTTGACGGCGGAGGATCTATGCTTTAGGGCATGGAGGATGAGTTTGATGTAGGCGTTTTGCCCGATCTGGTACCGCAACTCGCCGCCCATTACGGTGGCTGTGTGATGCCGGAGTGACACACTGCACCAGAGTAGAGAGGGAGAGTGGGAGAGAGACTCTGTGGTTGTGCTAGTGATCGCTGGGTTGGATTGGGGACTTGTATACGAGAGTCTAATGTTTGAGGAGAAAGTATGTTTGGGGGTATTAGATTAGGTTAGGTTAGTATTTTCATGATTAATAATTTTATGGTTATAAATTTTTTGAATTATGTATTTTATCTTATGTTTGAATTGAGTTGATATTATAAAGAGAGATTAATAGTCTAAACTTTAGTTTAGTCCTCTAATTTATATCTGTGCTTCAATTTATATCTTACCCCCTTCTATGAGATTGAATAGTCTATCATATGTGAGATACTATATCTGAATGGATTATTGGTCTGCATCTTAATTATTTAACCAAATATCGGATTAATAATTTTATTAAATTATTAGTCTAATCTCAAACTCATATCTACCCAAACAAATATAATCTTAGTGGGAATTGGGGTCAGGCACAGCAGTGACTGTTGTGCCTCATTTTGTGGTACATTATGGATTTATTTTTATAATCTGAACCGATCATGTTGTAAGGTTTGTTGAGTACTTCATGCCTACCAAAAATCATATTAATCGGATACCAATAACTATATAATTGATAATCAAAAAAATAAACAAGAAGTTTTTCTTTTGAAAAATAGTATAAAAATATGTAATTCGATCATATAGTTATTGATATCTGATTAATATAATTTTTGGTTGCTTTGAAGTACTTAATAAATCTTACAAAATGACAGTTCAGATCATAAAAATTAACCCATAATACATTTTAAAATGAGGCACAACCCAAGTCCAATCTTAGTGTAACCATATTATTTGTGATGATTGATTATATGACACCTGTCTAAGCAACCCACGAATGTAAAGTGTGTTTGATTTGTATTTTAAGGTAAATTTTTTTTAAAAAAAATTGAGAAGAGAGTTTAAAAAATTTTTTAATTTATTTAGTTGTGTATTTTGAAAATAATTTTGGAATTTGAGAGTTTAGGATGATTTAATATTTTATTATAATTAAGTAAATGTATATAAAAAATAATAATTGAGAAAGAAAAAAAAAATAATAATTGATTGACATGTAAAAAAAATTAATTTAAAAAAATTTTAAAAAATTATGCATACAAATCAAACAAGTCGTAATTTTCCATTCAATGTGAGAGAGGGCGGCAGCATATAAATCTTCGAAACGACGGAAACATAACAAAGTGACATCGTAGGTGACGCAAGATATTTTCAGTGACCCCAGACTGATCGAGCCCATTTTGTTTGGCTCTATTTGGTTGCATTCGTTTTTTTTATTTTTTTTATTTTTCAGTGTTTGTAAAAAAATTCATTATTTTTATTTTGTCTGTAAAAATAGCTTTCAAATTTTTTTTAAAACTAAATATTGATATTTGTTTTAAAAAAAATATTTAAGATACCTAATTTATATAATATTGTGTTTGATAACTGTCGAATTTTGATTTGTAAAATGTAGGGACAATTTGGAAAGAAGTTAAAAAATTAACTTTTAGCTTTTTTACACAAAAATATCAAAAAAGTCAAACTTTTTTAGCACAAAAAGCCAATAAATCACAAAAAAAATTAAAAAATAATTTTTTTATCAATTTTTCAAATCACCACGTAGTATTGTTGTTAAAAAAAAGTTAACTATTTTCAAAAAATTATTTCCAAAAGCAATCACTTTGTTTTTTGTGATTTCCAAATAAAAAAAACGAAGTAAGGATAGCAAAAAGATTGTTTTTTTTTATAAATCTTCTTTATAAGTATTTTATTTCATCTATTTTAATCCATATTCTTTTTTAATATTTCATTAAGTCAATATGACTAAATCATCTTATCTAATTTTTTGTACATGTTTCTATTTTGAAACTAATACATAATAATATTCCCTTATAGAGAAAATCTTTCTTTTATTTCATATAAAAAAATAAAAAAATAAAAAAAAATTCTTCCTTATTCTAAGGAAAAAATTTCTCCCGCATTCCATATAGAAAATCTCAAACTATAAACTTTGAACCTCTAACTTGAAAATTTTAAAAATAACGAAATAAAAAATCTGAATGAAATCAAAATATAATATGAATGTTTACAGTAAACAACAAATATACAACTAACTTTTAAAAAAACAAAATACATACTAAAGTACAATGTGAATGTTCACAATAAATAATAAACATACAACTAACCTCCGAAAAAATAAAATTAATACAAAAATACAATGTGAATGTTCACAATTTATAATTAACATACAACGGCCCCGTTTGGTAGAGCTGTGGGAAAGTGATTATAACTTATACCCTAACAGCTTATAGCTTATAGTTATGAACATAAGCTGATTTTTGACTTATAAATTAAGCTTCTCCTTCCCCACTCAAAGAATAAGTTGATTTTTGACTTACAAAAAGTTTTAAGCTGTATTGTTAAGCTAAACCAAACACATCAAAATAGCTTAAATTAAGTTAAAAGCTGAAATAAACTGGAAATAAGCCCTACCAAATAGGGCTAACTAGCCTTAAAACAAATAAGTCATATCAATGTGAACATTTACACAGCAACGTGAAAATATAAAACAAAATTGAAAAAAATAAAAATCAACTATTTTAATTATTCAATGGTAACAAAAATGATTGTTCAACTAACAAATATAGTAACAAAAACAACAAGCATACAATTAACTTTTGAAAAAATAAAACTTACACTAAAATACAATGTGAATGTTCACAATTAACTATTAATATACAATTAGTTTAAAAAAAATAAACTCATACCAATATGAACATTCACACTGCAACGTGAAAATATAAAATAAAATTAAAAAAAGTGAAAATCGAATATTTCGATTTTTCAATGATTACAAAAATGATTGGTCAACCAACATGCATGGTAAAAAAGACAACAAAATACAACTAAGTTTAGAAAAAAATTCAAAAAAAAAAAAAAACTCATACCAAAATACAATATGTGAATGTTCACAATTTACAATTAACAAGCAACTAATATTAGAAAAACCAAATTCATACTAATGTGAACATTCACACTACAACATGAACCAAAATTGAAAGGGGAAAAAAAAGGATTATTTCAATTGTTTAGTAGTAACAAAAAATTATTGTTCAAACAACAAGTATAATAACAAATAACCAATAATATGTGAACATGTGTGAACATTCATACTACAACGTGAAAATATAAAATATTATTGAAAAAAATGAAAATCTACTATTTCGATTGTTCAATGGTAAGAAAAATGATTGTTCAACCAATAAGCATAGTAAAAAAAATAACAAAATACAACTAACTTTTGAAAAAATTTCAAAAAAAAAAAAAAAAACTCATACAAAATACAATATGTGAATGTTCACAATTTACAATTAACAAGCAACTAATATTAGAAAAACCAAATTCATACCAATGTGAACATTCACACTACAATATGAACCAAAATTGAAAGGGGGGTTAAAAAAAAGAATATTTCAATTGTTTAGTAGTAACAAAAAAATTATTGTTCAAACAACAAGTATAATAACAAATAACCAATAATATGTGAACATTCACATCTTACAAAATATTAATTTTGTCCAGATCTATATTCCAACACTTATTTCTCAGACTTTCAAATAATGTGAAATGTGAATATTCACACTGATTGACAACAAAATAGAAATAATGGCAGCAACAGAATCAGTAATCAAAAAAAAAAAACTCAATCTCTAAAAATAAAAAATATCACTCAAATCCTCATCTTCATCTTTATCATTATCACTATCATTAACAATTTATGCAATTTCACCATTCCACCAATCCAAATCAAACAAAACTCACATTTGAACAATATGTTTGAAACAAAATTGAATGGACATAAACATAGCTTCGACTTACAACAATGGAGAAACATAGGTTGCGTTTGGTAGAGTTTTGTAATTATGATTTGAGAGTATGAGTTGTATTTTGAGTTTGTGGGGTTTGGAATTATGATTTGAGTGTAGAAAATTTGTTTGATAAAGAGTTTTGATTTGAGTGGGAAATTATTGATGTGACATTTGATATTTGATACAAAAATTTACAACTTATAACTAAACATACGACTCAAAATTATTTTAAAACACATAAAAAATTTTAAAAATTTTAGAAAATATTTTTTTCAATTATATAAAAATTAACATATCAATTGCAAAAAAAAATAAAATAAAAGTTCACTATTCCGGTCAACCGGCCGGACGACCGGTTAGGCAAAATTTTCAAAAAAAAAAATTATGAAAAGCGCAGCTGAGACAGAACTCTTTGTAGAGTTTTGGAAATGTGATTCCAAAATTCCTACCAAACACCATACTTGAATCAAGGTGCAGAATCATGATTTGAGAACACAACCAAACACAGTCATAGAGTTTCGAACACAGAGCAACAATAGACGAACACAGAATTTCAAATACAAAGTGACAATAGAAGAACACAAAACTTCACCACAACAATGGAGGAATATAATATTATTTCAGCACCATGTGTAAACTAGAGTTTCTAAACCCTATCAAATAAAAAGTTTCAAAACCTTAGCACAATGAAATAATACCACAAATATGAATGCAATTGATAAAAAAGAAAAACGTGAATAATGATAACTACCAAAATCGAAGTAACAATAAAAAAAAATATATATGTATATCATTTTTCTATGTAATATATATCAACAATAGACATAAAAATATAATAGTCCAACAAATAATATAAATCAAGAAGAAAAAAAAACCTCGTAGAATAAAAATATAAATACATAAGACTAATTAAATTATAATTTTTCTTGATAAACTTATTGAGTTAGAACATCTCTAAATAAAATTTATCAATAAAAAAACTCATAACAAAAAGCACAACCAAATAGATCAAACTATATTTGTATCTTCAACTTGTGGAAGAGAAATACATTAAAAAATGTATAGTGAAGTTAATTGGGTATTTACTACATATTTTTCTTTCTTTTCTTCCCATCACACTTTCTACAAAATACTCATTTTAATCTTATATGAATCTCAATGTAGACAAGTCCAAATACCCACCCGTTAAGAATAGAATTAATCTACAAACCCAAATTAACGTACCTAGAAAATTTGGAGTGAGTGATTAGATGATAAAAATTAATTTGTATAGCATAATATTCATGTGTAAAATAAATCTGAATCACAAGATAAAAATTCTCAATAATTTTTGAATTGATAAAATTAAATTAGTATTCCTGTTAAGAATAATGAATGATAAGGTTTTTTTTTTTTTTTTTTGAGATTGAGAAATGAGAAAGTTAGCCAACATAAAACAAAATTTAGTTGATATTATTCTTCCACTTAGTCGTTGATATTATTTCGGGGGCTCCAACGCCAGCACATTCTGATTCCTACACAATTTTGAATTTTTTTTTATTTTTTAATTTTTTTTTGCTGTGAGAACAAGTGAACCATCATATTTATATAACAGTAGAACATAGAGAATCAACAAGCGAAGTCTCTTGCTTTGAAACTTGAGGACAATAAGTGTGACTCGTGATTCCAAAAAATGCCCACAGCTACATTTTGTTTTGAGAAGAAGTTTCATTCTGGGAAAAATCTGGCAATGAAACCAGAGGTAACAAGGCCAACTAAGAAACCCAGGTATAAATCTACGAAAATAATCTTGTACTAATAAAGCTGACCCTTTCTCTTTTTGTCCAAAATAAATATAACAAATACACAACCATATCTGAGTCCAAAAACCAAATTAAATCCAAACCCACACTATAAGAAGGCGAATACCCAATGTAGAAAAATACGCATTTGCTTTTCTTTAGATCTTTAGAAAATATAACTAAAACCCAAACAATGCCCTATTTCAGGCTTGAACCTTCAGGAGAGGGAGAGGGTGAAGAGAATATGAAGTTTCAAAGAGTCTGGTTTTATCAACCCTAGTGAAAAAACAAATTTGGGAGGTGAGTAATGCCAACAAAATTGTTTTCCAAGAACAAGTTACACAAGGATTACAACCAAAGGCACATACATGTTCATAAAGGTTGCCTAATAAATAACTTATACATTGACAAATACACTATTATCACAATTAGAAACAGGTTTAATCTCAAAGAAATTAGCTGTGCGGGGGTACATTCATTATGACATTCATTTGTGAAGCAGACCATACTGTCTTCAGTACCTATGAAAATACACCGTTGACTCCAAGTTCACTAGAACAGACAACTAAAAACCATTCAAATTGCCCAATACTTTAGTAAAAAGCCATTTTCCACCACATCCCAGCAGTGCACAAGTTAACACAAATAAAGTCACTATCATCTTATACCACCATAGATGTTTCGAGCATAGCTAGCATTAGGTAGATGAAGAAGTTTTCCTTTGTCACTAAAACGGGGGGAGAGGATGAAGAAAATAGATATGGCATCCACGACTGGCTGTAAATAGAAACTACACCGATTCACGGAGTATAAACAGCTCCATAATTCAATTAAAAAATTAAGCAAGCAAGCTGTCTTGATCATGAACGTCAACAGTCTAAAACCATGCAATAAGGTAAGTGTCAAGCACTATTTCATGTTATTTCCCAGCAGGAAATTTATCTTTCTTAAAACTAGAGGGGTATCTGAATCTGTCTGCAAACCTGCAAGGAAAGTCAAGACAATCTTTGCCCTTAAAATGTAAACTATCAACGATACCTGTAAGACCTCAAAATTAATTGAACTAGTAGCTCAAATGGCTTAAGTTGTGCCTCATATTTCGGCATAGAAATCTCACTAATCCACTTTATTACCTGCAAGTTGATGTAAATCTAAAATGGTAGCCTAAAACCATAGTGATATTTGCTACTCAAGTCATACAGGGACATGAGAGGAAAAATCCCTATCTTAGACCAGACTAAATGGTCATGGTTACAAGACCCATGTCAAAAATGCTAAAAAAGTAAACATAAAAGCTAAATAAATTTATTACACGAGAAACGTCTAATTCTAATTCAACTAGAGGAAAATGTAGCAAGCTCACAAACAAGATGCTATGTTCTACATAACAAACTAGAGAGATTAAGCTAGATCACCACAGCAGACACCAAATATAAATCTAAAACACTACAAGGTTCATCTAAGACATACAATAGATTCTGATCTTTAAATGCGTCATCAGTTGCAATGGTAGGAGACACCTCTAGTACTCATGTGATAGCACCTATCAATCCACGATATATAATGCAGGAAACTAGAGAAACCTGTGAGAAACCTCTAAGGCAAAGCTTGCCTTTTCTACCTTGCATAAGGATGGTACCGGCTACTGCCACTATAGCCTCCCCTTCCATACAGCCCACTTGCTCCACCATAACTAGCACCAGGACCAGACTCATAAGCATCATAGCTTGAACCCCCATAACTCCCATAACCTTCGCCTCGGCCATATCCACCTAAACCACTGCCACCATAACCGGCACTAAACCCACCACCATAGGGTCCAAAGCGACTAGAATAACCAAGGGAAGATTCACCTCGGTAGCCTCCTAAGCTACTGCTGCCAAAACCTCCATAACCACCAAATTCACTTCCACCGCTACCGTACCCACCATATCCACCAAACCTACTGCCAATACCTCCAGGTGTCCTATAGGGGCCAGGGCCAAACCCGCCATCAAAGCCCCCATAGGAACCGCCAAATTCACCAAAGCCATCATTGAAAGAACGAGCCCTAGAGTTGCTACCATGTGCAGGAGCAGGAGGAGGGTTTGAGGCTTTCTTTGGTTCTGCTTTCTTGATCTCCACCTACAACAAAACAACTTAGTTAACCTAAGTTCTGCTGAATGTAAACTATCATGAGCGTCCTCCTGAGAAGATCTATGCCTGTAAAAAACTTGACCTAACATCAGAAATAAGTCCCGCAAGCAATTACTCCAAGTGAGATAATATACAAAGAAGTATGCAGTTAAAACGCCTTAGCATATATACCAGAGAGTAAAAATGAGTAAACAGTTTTACAATATCCTGGATAAACATGTATCTGTTTACATGCTGATTTCTCGGAGACCGTAGAACTAGGCTCACCTGGGTACCCGCCATATCAATCATATTTCCATTGGATACCATTTCATCAACAACTTCCTCACTGTCGAATATTACAAATCCAAAACCTCGAGAACGGTTGGTCTCATGATCACGAATAATCTGGTGTTCAACAACTTTCCCATACTTTGAGAAGAAATTCTTCAACTCATCTGATCAATTCAACATGCCCAAAACAGGTTGCACAACTTTAAATACACAACACAAATAATAAAAGATATCTACATATTTTAACAACGAAACAAACAAACCTTCAGTGACTGCAGATGGCACACCCCCAACAAATATTTTCTTTGTTTTGAAATCCTTTGATTGGCCAGATCCTTTCGGAATGGTTCTTTTAATCTCAACCTACCCCATTTTCACACAGCAAGTCAATATATATAGAGAAAGAGATGTAAATATTTGTAGCCTTGTACATTATATTGCAAGGAACCATGCATCCATATAGAATAATATTGCACCAGAAGTCACAAGTAGCATAGAGTACAAACCACCAAATTTCAAAAGAATCTTGCCTGTTTTCCATTGATGATGTGGGTATCTTCAATAACCTGGTCAACAACTGACGGGTCAGCATAGGTGATGAATCCAAAACCCCTCGGCTGCCCCGTGTACCGATCTTTCATTATCACTGAGTCTGTAATCTCCCCATATTTTCCAAAGTGCTTAACAAAAGTAGCTGTTTTCAATCAATAACAATTCCACATCAGATAACAAGCACTACCCAACACCTAATTACTGTTAATCATTGCAACAATAATAGGTATGCTAGGCAATCTCATAACGTTCGTCATCAAATTGGCCAATTGGAAGCAAGTTAGAGATTTACAGAGACAATCCATAAGCCCCCAAACATGTAAATGTCATAGGCCCAATCAAAATGAAGATAATCATCACCCCATTACAGAGAGGCTTAACAGAACATAAAGTTCACTAGCCCAGTTAAGATGTCACCCTCTACTAGAGAGACCAAAAAAGGTGGGTGGGGAATTCAATAAACAAACACTATGAAACTGAATGGTCAGAGGGGTTTCGAAACCCCCCCCCCCCCCCCAGGTAATTAATTGGCTCTATCACTGATGTACTTAGATGTACCAAACAAACATAAAAAACAACAGCAATCAACCCATAAATTTACCATACAAACCACACCACCCATAATTTGATCACAAACAAGCTGTTTAAAAATGATGAACCAAATCTATCCCCAGAAAAAATAATAAAATAAAAACATAAAAATCTACAAATCAAACAAACCCAAAACTGTCATCAACCTCCAAATCACACAAATCGAAACATGCAAATGGGTGCAGTTAGTCCCTGGATCCATTTGGTAATTGTGAATCTCTGATTTCTTTCTCAAAGGAAAAATTCAACAAGTGGGTTGTAAGATCACCTCCGGCCCTCACTCAAATTAGAGTACAAATTTATTAAAAAGCACTCCACCGGACAAACTCATATTAAAGAATAAGTTCGATACAAGTTTGAGACAATGGGTGGAGACGTCTTTGAACTCAAATTCAAGTTTGATATAGGTTTGTGTACATGCATATACATAAATACACACAGATAGAGAGAGAGAGAGAGAGGGAAGAAGAATAAAAAATATATATAAAAAGGGAATTCTAACCATGAGTTGCATCTTTTGCTAATCCACCGATGAAGATCTTCCTGAAATTTGGAGGAAAAAACAAAAAAACTAAACAGAAATTCTCAAAAAACAGATCAAAACAGTTAAAGCTGAAGAGGGGTTAGAGGGTCGAACCCAGGACTCGCTCCATCGCCTGTGTGTGGGTTGTGACTCTTCGATTTCGAACCCATAAATCGAGCTATCTCTCTCCGGTTTGAATCTCCTTTGAGCGATTTGCAGTGAGACGAAGAGCAAGAAGGCTAGGGTTTGTGATACGGGTCTGATTTACTATCGAGGTGATGTGCGGACTGCAGAGAATATACCAACACCCACCTTCTCAGTACACCGCCTTCCTTTCTACCCCCATTAACAAATTAATCATTTCACAAAAAAATTATAAATTTATAGATTTAATTATTAAAATTTATCACTAATTTGACATTGTTTTTGAAAATACACTAATTTCCAATTTTCATAATTAATTATATTGTTGAAATTCCTTGACAATCATTAAATGCCACTTTGTCCTCTCAATTTTATAAAGGTAAGTTATAATGACCTTGTTTGAGATTTTGAAAAAAAATTAACAAATTTTAAAATTTTAAGGTAATTATATATATATTTATTTTAATTCACATAGCAAACAAACTTCATTGGACTATCCAAAAATTTAAGACCTATAAGATAAAGTACCGTCAGAATTGTCCAACGGGGTTGGCTAGATTTAAAAAAATGAAGTTCTCTCCCTGTATATATAAAAATAAAAGGGTTGGGTTATGACTAGTTAAAATGATATAAGACAACTCAGGGGTGAGTGGTAACTTGCTAAGGGCCTGGGGTTTAAGCCCCTAGGTCCTGGGTTCAACTCCCATCTGGGCCAATCTCTTGGGCGTAGCACAGTTTCTTAGGAGGTTGACCTCAATGATGCTTTATCAGCTACTTTGTGTGGGTTTAATTCTCCATCGCTGTGCGAGTCTTCACTTAAGCGGAGCTTGCCTTGGGAGGTCGGGACAAGCTTCCAGGTTATAGTCTCTTACTCGGAAGTCTCTTACTCGGAACGGACAACAGGACGCCCTGGTGATCTCCTCGGGGCGCTGCCTTGGACCTGCGGGAGAGTGAGAGGATTTCCCTGTAACCAAAAAAAAAAAAAATGATATAAGACACCTTTAGGTTTCGTTTGGCAAGAGTCAAACGGGATTTTTTTGGCTATTTTAGTCACAAAAGACAAAATAGACTATTTTAGCCACAAAATATAAAACATCACATCCAACTCATAATCATTACATTATTCTCTCACAAAAAAAGTCAAAAAATCCAAAAAATCAAAAAAGCCAAAAAGTCAAAAAGTCCTTCCCAAACCAAACTTTTTAGCCCAGGCTAAAATAGTCAAAAAAATCAAAAAGCCAACCCACTTCCCAAACGGAGGCTTAGGCCAAGTTTGGGATGCTACGAAAAAACCAAAAAGTCAAAAAGTTATCAAAAAAGTCAAAAAGTCACCCCATTTTCATGTTTTGGGCAGCCAAAATTGGGAGAAACCTACGAAGGGTAAAAATACTATTCTGCCCCTGTTTTTTTTATTCCTTCCTCAACCCCTTTAAACTCTCACCCGCAGATCCCCTTCTCTCTCTCTCTCTCTCTCTCTCTCTCTCTCTCTCACAGTGGAGTTCTGCCGAGATCGAATACCAAAAGGGGACAATCCTTCTGCGGAGATATCCACACCAGCGACGCCGGAGATCCATCGCAGCCTTCACCGTCCAGCACCGCAACAGCCGTGGGGAAGTTCGACCTGGACTCGATCGCAACTTAACAGCAACCGACGGCTGTCGGACAATCCGTCGCCCAGATCTGCATCACTTCCGACCAGATCTACACCACGCCGGCCGGTTTCTCCCTAACTACAAGGTAACATCTCTTCCACGCAATTTAATTTTCTCACTCGCTCTCCTTTATCTGATTTTGTTCCAAAACTTTTTTATCTTTCCTACCTCTCTTCTCTTATCTGTAACACCGAAACCCTCTATTCTCTCTACCGAAACCCTCTATGAATCCGGAACCCAAACCAGATCTACAGATCTGGTTGTAAGATGTGAATTTCGGTTCGGCGATCTGTTTCACAATCTAAGCATCTCTCCACGATTTCAGTTCGAATTTCACAATCAGTTGAACCCTCTGTCTCTGAAGATGAACAAGACCAACTTCAGGGAAGACGATGACGTTGTTGTTGTGATTGTTGTGTGTCTACGGTTTGTTGTTGTCATTTCTGATTTTGGTTATGAATTTTTTTTTTTTTCTATTTCATTGAGTCTTGCTGGAAACGATGCGGGTGGGAGAAATGGAACAAATAATTAAAAATGGGATACTGATATGCAAATCAGTGTATTTCTGAGTAAAAATGCATTCCTTTATAGCCCATCTGTCCAACAAATAAAGTAGAGCTACTTCCAAACAATTACACTAATCCTTCTGGGTCTTGGTTGGGCACATTTTTATCTTATGGAAATTTTGGAATCATATTTTCAAAAACGACCTACCATCTTTAATATATTTGTTTTTATGGAGAACCTTTTGTAATTGAATTTGGTTTTCTGCCATGGAATGTGATATTCATACTTAAGATATTTGTTTAAGGCACTCTTCATTGCAACCAAAATCCTATATTAAGGGGTTGAACTAGCATATAAATTGTTTTGAGCATTCATTGATGTCATTTGTGAAGAGATAATGGTCCATTGACAATTGCCAGGGAACATTCTTTAGGGTTCCTCTGGTAAAGTTGTTATGTAATGTCCTCTATCACCTTCTAGTTTTACAGACAAGTTCATTATCTAATAGATATTTTCAGGAAGTTTCGGATTAGCATACAATTGTTAGTGTTCATTGATTTCGTTTGTGAATAGATCCCATTGACCAGGGTACATGCTCTAGGATTTCTGTTGTAAAGTTGTTTCTGTATTGTCCACTATGTTGCTTTTTAATTACACAGATGAGTTCGTTCTGTGGTACACATTTTGAGGAAATCATTGGAGACCTGTAGTGTGAGCCGACGAAAAAAACAATAACAATGTTCTAAGACGGTTGTATTGGAGGCTTGTGTTACACAGTTGTTTATATGTTTTTTATTTTATTCGCATTATGAGTTTCAATGTCTTCAATTTTTCCTCGTATACCATAATTGTTGTTGCATTGTAGTACGCAAATGGAGCAGTCCCAAACGCAGTCGACGCCTTCCAAAGCTTTGCGCAAACGCGGTAGTAAACCGACGCAGCAACAGTCCACAAACGTGCATAAAGCATCTTGGGACTCCGACACGGTGCGGATTTTTTTGGAACTTGTTATCAAAGAGTTGGACGTTGGTTTCAAGGGGAGCTTCCATACAATGACAATGCATGGATATCTAGCTGTAAGCAAGGGCTTTCTGGACCGTACAAATAAGGTGCATGACGTCAAACAACTGCAGAACAAGTACTCGTTGCTGAAAAAGGATTGGCAGTCATGGTCGAAATTGATGGACAGCAGGCATGGGCCAACTGGCATCAGTTACAATGAAGCCACGGGTTTGATACAAGCATCTGACGATTTGTGGGCACATTACGAAAAGTTAACATTTCAACAACGGTTCATAGTACGTCATTTACATGGAAACTTACACCGTTAGTATTGTCAATGCTTAAGCTTATTTTCAATGGCGCGTTGTGTAGATTATTACGTACACCCTAGTTTTTTTAGTTGGGTCTAAACATAAATAATTGTGACATTTCGTACTGTGTCTCTAATTTAGCCTTGTCGATGTACCCCACCACCATAGGAATCTGTAATTCATGTTTTTATATGTACATAATAATTTAAGAAATAAAATTAGTACATGAAACTTGATTAGAACCTTAAACTAATAACATTTTGGAATGGGAGTAGAGTATTATTTACCACTATCATGGAAATAATGTAAAGAAGGAATACATCTTTTCTTTATCCTAATTTTTTTCCCCATTAGATTATTAACATTATTATTTTTCCATTATGCTTACTTAATTTGATAAATTACAAAATGGTTGATAAATGTGAATGATTCTTTGCTTTTTTGGAGGTCACAAAGAAGAACAAAAACTACTATTACACATCATCCTTTATTGGGACAAAAAAGTTAAGTGTTACTACATCTAGAACCATAGTATCATATTTCAAACCACTATAATCATCTCTTGCCTTACATGATTATATCTAAGCCATATTTTAACTTACTACTCACTTTCTCTCCAAAATCCACTGAATTACATAGTACAACCTTTCACTCACTTTTTTTTCCCCCTCTTTCTAAGTTACTTCTTTAAATTAATAATCTGAACACAATCTTAATACTTGTAAGAAACTTTAGACAAAATACTCGAACGACTCCCTCATAAGGTAGCCTATAAAATAAAACAATAAGTTAATCCGTTGGTTACGAGTTTATGTTCGTTACTAAGAAGTTACAATTCATATCTCCTTATCAGCATAGAGGCCTTTCTTGTTGTATTGCTTTGAACATTTTTTAGACCCGTACGTGTTGTTTGTTTATTACCTTGTATCTCCATTTCAATTTTTTACATAATATTTGGAATGGGGTCTACGTTCTCTGTTAACTGAAGAGAAGATTGAGCCATCTAGTTGGTTGTGTTGAGCCCACTACAGCCTTTAAATTCATAATTCGAACCGTTGCTCCTTCGAATCTGCTGTATGTCAATTATTAATAAAAATATTATTCACCCAATAATAGTACTCATTTTCACCCAATAAAACGTATGCTTTGGAAAATATATTATTTATTTCTTTAAGACAAACATATTGAAATCATGTGACTGTCTAGTTCAATTTATTTTTTATTTTAATAAATAATCTACAAATATAAGTCCATAAAATGAACAATATAGATCATCCAAATAGGTTGGTTATGGGCTACATTATCTATTTCTTTAACACAAACATATTGACATTATGTGACTACCGAATCAATCTATCTTTTATTTTAATAAATAATCTACAAATAACCGTTATTATGTACGTTATTTACATGGATACATAAGCCTATTTCTTTGCTGCCTGTGTTTGCTCCCCATTATTCTCTGTTTCACTATCTGACATGAAGTTCTGCCGATGGGTTTTTGGTTGTTTTTCCCAGGTTGACAAGAATGCAATCAAGTTCAAAACAAAACCGTTGGAGCACATGGACCTCATGCGAAGGGTGTACGAAGGCGCTACAGCAACCGGAAAATATGCATGGACACCAGGTGCAGCGTTCGAACCTGTGGCACCCGATGACGGTACTTCGCAGGCGCCTGACGAAGACTATGAAGATAGCAGCGGGCTGCCCCCTTTCCAACCTGCCGCGCAGCATGAACACACTGTGTAGCACACTGTTGCGCAAGAGGATGGAACGCCGGCACCCGTGCACGCTGCGTCATCGGGAATTAACGCTGACAACACACCAACTAGTGGCATGAACAAACGCAAATCGCCAGGCCCAACACACCCACAGCGGAAAAAAGGGCAGAGTGAGGGAGCTTCTCTGTTGGCGAGTAGTATGGAAAACCTTGCATCCTCCGTGAAATTACAACAACGACAAATCCGCGTCTCACATGATTACGCAGATTCGGCACAGCAGCTAATTGAGAAGTGTATGACACGGTTGTATTCGCTGGAAGGGCTGGATCCGCAAGACCCGCTAGTTCATTTTGCTCAATCGGTACTTGACAACCCTGCAAATCAAGCCATAATGATGTCGATTCCTACAAACGCGGCTGTCATTGCTTGGTTGCGAACAAAGAAGTCCCGTGAGCAATGCATTGGTGGCCCATCAGCAGCAAATCCCAGAATGGGTGGTGGCTGGTTCTGAGATTTCCGAGCAAATAATTTGTGTTTCCTTATTAATGTTTGTGTGTTGCTTCTTTGTTAATGTTTGGGTGGTGGCTGGTAGTGAATATTGATGTAATGTTTCCTATGTAATGTTTGTGTGTTGCCTTTTGTTTTTCTCCCCCTTGAAACAAACAGTTGGGCACATCGCCTTCATTCCCAAAACGATGGCATTGTTGGTCGAATTTTTCGGACATTATCAGTTGATAATATTTGTGTAATGATGTTGATGTTGTGGTATATGGTTGTTGCTGCCAAATAGGTTTATTATCATTTCTTTTTCATGAAACATAAGTACATTATCTATAGACCATTTTGGATGCGTTCATTTTTGGTCACTTCAGTGATGGTGATGACAAATACATTATCTATAGATCCTTTTGGATGAGTTCATTTTTGGTGGTTCGGACCACTTTGTCAATCTCATCCATCTATAATTTGTTAAATTAATAACAAAATTTTTAAAATCAATCAGATATAATTTTATGACACGAGGTGAGATTCACCTTCACCTTTCTTGCTAGAGAGTTGTAAAGTTGTAAAGTGCACAAAATTAGTTGATTCCACACCTGGTTACTTTTTTAAAAAATTAAATTAAAATAACGAAAAGTTTTATACATATTAATAATTAAATTTATAATTTTTAGGGTCGTCCCGAAAAATAAAAACAAGACATTTAGGGACAATTTTTAAAAGGTTATTAATAAATAGATTTTTTGGGAGAAAATAATTTGGTCTAAAATTTTTTTATTTTTTTAGACAAAAAATATGGTCAAAAAATGGTAATAATTTATCACTAATTTCCAATTTTTGTTAATATAAGGACGATATTCGAACCGTTGTTTTGTTTTTATCTATTTATTTATATTATAATAAATACTCCCTTTTTTTTAAGGTGACGAAAAAATGACACGTGAGGATTGGTTTTTGTTTTTCTTACATGTTTTGTCAGCCCAGCACACAGTTTCATATACACCAATAATTTGGTATCTATTACCAAAAAGAAGAGAACAAATTATTCTTGAAGCCCCCAATAATTTGTGTGTTGCCCAATTTGCATAGACACCACGTGAAGTTGTTGAAAGTTTGGTTTCACCGGCCTCACCACAATCTTGGGTTGAAAGAAGAGAATCATTTCTTATGCATGCTCAATTTTGTGGTTTCAAAGAAGATGATCCGTTTGTGTTGCTTTGTTGAAATTTTGGTTTCAACGGTCCCACCACAATATTCTTTTCAAAGAAGAGAATCCTTTCTTACGCATGCTCAATTTTGTGGTTTCAAAGAAGAGAATCCGTTTGTGTTACTTTGTTGAAATTTTGGTTTCAAAGGTCCCATCCCAATCTTTGCGCATGCTCATCTTTGATTTGTTTATATAAGACCACAAATCAGTTGACATGTTAGCTTCAAAGGTCTCACCACAATCTTTGCTCATCTCATCATTCATTTCTTTAGAGAACACCACAAATCAGTGTGGTTGTCTGCTTTCTTACCCTCGCCCCAATCTGCTTGTTTCATTGTCCAAAGTCGTAATAATTTTCTTGGTAGGCAGCCTCGTACTTGCGAAGTCAGATTTTGGTAAACCAGTTTGGCTCTGTATATGCTGCGTTATAGGTTTCCAAAATGGCAGACGATGCAGGTCCTAGTTACACTGTGCCCAGTAATACAGCCCGGGAAGCTATCGATGAAATTGCACGGGAAATGATGGTCAAAACTGATCACAACTTCCTAGAGGCGTATAACAGTGCAGCTACATATTACTACAACCATTATCACAGAGTGCCTCGAAATACATCCATACTTACAGGACGTTTATGGATGTATGAGTTGTTTAACGGTCACCAAGACCGGTTTGAAGATGCTGTCAGCATGTCCAAACCAATGTTCTTGATGTTATGCGACACTCTTCATAGTTTCGGATTAACACTGCCACAGCGGGAGCATGGCGTTCCGCTAGAAGAGAAGGTAGCCATTTTCATTTGTGCATTGCAGGGAATGAAGATGAAAGATTTGCAAGAACGGTTCCAACACTCGAAGGAGACATTGTCACGGCATTTCCATGAGGTTTTGAAAGTTATGATACCGTTCACAGCGGTTCATAGTAGGAGTCTTACGCCTGAGCAAGTGCAACAGGGGGGCCACCCACAATTACAATCGCAACGGCGATACCGGCCATTCAAGGTGAGACTGTTTCACATAATTTTAAATATCACAGTGGCGAAATATACCATGAATTATTATTTATATATTCTGCGTAATGGTGCGTTGTGTAGGACTGCATCGGTGCACTAGACGGCACGCACGTGATGGCTCGTGTCTCGGAAGAGTACGCCACTTCGTATTACGGCCGGAAAGGCGTCCCAACACAGAACATACTGGCCGTATGTGACTTCGATTTGTGCTTCACGTTTGTGTCAGCCGGTTGGGACGGGAGCATGCACGACAGTAGGGTGCTGCACTACGTGACAACCGAACCTAAACATCGCTTCCCGCACCCCGCACCTGGTAAAAGTATATCTTACGTAACAAAGTAGTATAATCTGAAAATAATATAAGACAAATTACACATTCGTACTTGCTATCGTAATTGAGAACTTACCAAAAATAGATAATATCCTCTGGAAAAAAAATTGACGCAAAATTATTTTTCTCAAAGAACTTGTTTGTAAAAAAATGTTCATTGTAGGAAAATACTACTTGGTGGATAGCGGCTACAGCAACAAGACAAGGTACCTAGCCCCATACAAGGGATATAGGTATCACCAAAATGCTCATCGAAATCGAAGACCACAAAATGAGTTCGAACTATTCAATAAGGCACATTCGTCATTGCGTAGTTGTATCGAGCGGACATTCGGTGCGTGGAAGTCGAGGTGGGGGGCATTGCGGAATATTCAGAAGTTGAGTTTCGCAAATCAAGTGATCTTCGTGTGTGCGTCGATGGCGTTACATAACTTCATACGCCGAAACAGTGAAATTGATGAGGTCACAGTTCCTATCGCAAATAGCACCGAATACGTGGCTCCCGAAATGCCCGACCACGATGAATATGCACGGGTTGCGGATGTGATTGAGAAAGGGGACTCCGACCCCGCAATGACAGTTGTACGAGCGAACATTACGTACCAACTAGCCCAGCAACTGAACACGAATAATTGAAACATTAATGTTGGTTAAATTTGTAATGTGTGTAACTCAAATCCGTCGCAAGATTATTATCATGGTTTGTTAATGTGTTTTGTATTTCTAAATTTGTAGTACTTCACAGCAGGAAGTTGATAAAGTTTTGTATCCAATTTTATGCTACATATGTCCAAAAAGCACTATTGAAAACGAAATGAAAAGAATAAAATAAAAAAACTTGGTTGAACAACCTAGAACAGCACTGGGCATAATAAAAAAGGAAAAGAAAAAAAAATTACAAAAAAAGCAATAAAAAACAGAATGAAACCAAATTTGTTAAAACGAAAACAATAAAAGCGAAAAGAAAAGAATTTAAAAAAAAAAATTGAAAGGAAAAGAAAAAAAGTAATGAATAAAAAATGAAAACATTCAACAAAAATTTACACGTAAAAAGAAAAGAATACAAAAAAAAATGACAAAAAAAGGAAAATAATAAACCCAAATTAATAATATTAAAAGGAAAAGAATAAAAAATAAAATATAAATGTGAAAAGGAGAAGAAAAAAAAACCGAAAAGAATGAAAAATAAATATTCACAACAAAGGAAAAGAAAGAAAACAAAAATTATAACGAAAAGAGTGGAAAAAAGAAATTGAATAAAAATATGAAAACAAAAAAAATAATAATATTAAAAGTACCGACTACAACGGGAAGAAAAAAAAATTTATGTTAAATGGAAAAGAATGGAAAAAAAAAATTGAATAAAAAAGGAAAGAAATAAAACAAATAATAATTATAAAAGGAAAAGAATTAAAAAAATACATTCTTTTAAAATGAAAAATAATAAAAACAAAAATGTTAGGGAAAAGAAAAACAAAAAAAAATTTGACTGCAACAGAAACAAAAATTATGAATAAAGAAAAAAAAATAAGTGCCTTTGACCGTTGCACAGTGTTCATGGAAATGAAAAAAAATATTTAAAAATTATATGTTGCAAGTGATTGTCACCACAGACGTAAAGTGACGCTGCGCAACGGTGACACGTACGCAAGAGATTGTGTGTAAGTTACGAAGGGTAAAACGGTCATTTTACCATGTTAACTAATATTATATTACACAACTTTTTATAAAAAGTCAAAAATTTATTCCAAACAACTATCTTTTTTCTCTCAATTTTTTAGTCCAAAAAATCAAAAAGTACACTTATTTATGACACCCCAAACAAGCCCTTAATGTGATGAGAATGTTTACTTATATAGAATATTTATGTGACACTCGAATGTTTTAAATTTAACATTACGATAAAATAAATAAATAATAACAATAATAATAAAATAAGTATATATATATGTAGTGACAACAATAATAATAAATAAATGC